TTGCAGATACAAACAAAATCAAATGCTATTTATGTTATATAAAACACACACGATATATATATATATATATATATATATATATATATATATATATATGTATGTATGTATGTATGTATGTATGTGTGTGTGTGTGCCTGTATGCATAAAGTATTGGAAATATATTTAGTATATATTGCATATTATGTCGCTGTGTACAAATATACCGTTCAAAATACAATAAAAGTATGCATGCTTGCATATAAGCCCTCGTTTGCTTCCCAAATCGTAAAACGCAAAGACATGATTAGTCTCAAGAAACGCAAGCAAGCGAGCAGTTCCACTCCCATTGGTTGTTTGCAACTAGCATCACGCAAACGCAAACACAAAGATGGCGGCGCAAAGCGAGAACGACAGAAAATAAAAGAAAAAAAGAGATAGAGAGAGAAGCAGGACCAAATTCGAATCCAGGGCGTATTCGTTATGAATGATTGTTTTAGGATAAGATTATCCACGAATTATGGTAATAAGATTATTTTGGAAATACACGAGCCACGAATATCTTCGCAGTGCTGGTATCTTAAACGAGGCAAACGGTTGTCATGGCGACCGAGGAATCTACTGAAGTCAGCTGATCGAGTGCGATGTCATATGGTTGGTGCGACGTAATAGCTGTTTGCCTTTTGTGCCAGATGAAATTAAAAGAATAACTGTATGATTTATTGTTTTATAATGAATTATATGGGGTGCTGAAAATTCTTCTGTCTAATTCATTTAGCCAGATATGACTAAAGATAAGTATTTTTTAAATTCCTTCTTGATCGAGTCTAGAATTTGCTATCACCCCTTCATATTAGATCGAAAATGGCAATATATTTTAATTGAAAAGATGATTGCAGATATTCATTTCAGGAACGGAAAACTTGCAGATAAGATTTTAAGATAATTTTCATGTCAGTTAGGATCATTTTGTCACGGTAGAGAAATCATAGATTCCTCTTTAAAGCATTTTGATAGATAGATAGATAGATAGATAGATAGATAGATAGATAGATAGATAGATAGATAGATAGATATTCAGGATAAGAGTTATTGTCAGTAAATACATACACTGTAAATACATATATCTGTGTATATATGCATATATGTATATGGCAAATACAATATATATGTGTGTTAGTGAGTGTGTGTGTGTGTGATAGATAGATAGATAGATAGATAGATAGATATTCAGGATAACAGTTATTGTCAGTAAATACATACACTGTAAACATATATATCTGTGTATATATACATATATGTATATGGCAAATACAATATGTGTGTGTGTGTATGTGTGTGTGTGTGTGATAGATAGATAGATAGATAGAGATAGATAGATAGATAGATAGATAGATAGATAGATATTCAGGATAACAGTTATTGTCAGTAAATACATACACTGTAAACATATATAGCTGTGTATATATACATATATGTATATGGCAAATACAATATATGTGTGTGTGTGTGTGTGATAGATAGATAGATAGATAGATAGATAACAGTTATTGTCAGTAAATACATACACTGTAAACATATATAGCTGTGTATATATACATATATGTATATGGCAAATACAATATATGTGTGTGTGTGTGTGTGTGTGTGTGTGTGTGATAGATAGATAGATAGATAGATAGATAGATAGATAGATAGATAGATAGATAGATCTTTAACGGTTATGGTTTTATTTTTGCTGCTTTCGTTTTTGTAAGTCTCCCATTTTATCAGCAGTAGTTCTATTTTTTAAGAAAAGGGAATATGTTGTATGAAGCGGAACATAAATTTACCGCAGTTATTCCGAAATTGGTGTACTTGCAATATATTTTCGCTTCATTTCAACAGAAATATATTTCTGAAGTTTTACTACGTCATTCTAAGTCTTTAAATTTTATCATAGACTTTGTCTGATTTTCAAAATAAAGCTAATACGAATCACGCATTTTGCAGATCATTTACGGAGACCAAACAGTAGATGTAAGCACAGTTAGATGATAGGTAAGTTTCACTCGTGGTGTCAGAATGTGTGACAAGCTTCGTTCCGGGTACCTGTGAAGCCCTTGTTCATCGTTGACGAAAATTCATAGACAATATTAGCGACTATATGGGAAAATAGCAAAATTAACCACATTATAGAACTCTCTGAAAACCCTACAGATGATTGTGCATAATTGTTAACATCGTAAAATTTAAGCTAAGTCTTCTTCTTCTTTTTCTATGTATAATCATGGTTCTCCACAATTTCCTATCCGTTGTAGGTCTTCTTTTTACCCGCTCTCAAACCCAGCTCTGCGAAACATCTACACAAGGTACGTTATTTGCTGCTTACATCTGTCGCACTTTCCTTCAGTATGTCATGTGAGTGTTAAATTTTCCAGCCCTCTTTCCTCATTACGTGACCTAGAAGCTTCAACCGTCTCTTTCTGATGTTAAGTATAAGTATCCTTTTTGTTTCCATTCTCTCTGAAACTTCATCATTGTTCACATCTTTAGCCATTGGTATTCTCAGCATCCTTCTGTAGAATCACATTTCTGCCACGTCAAGTCTCTTCTTCATCTCTGATGAGGTTGTCAAGCATTCTCGACCATAGGAGGATATTGCAAAACAGTTCAGTACTCTTTTCTTTGTTTCTAACGAAATGTTTCTGTTTCTTTACTTAACTTTTGGGCAGCATCGTTCGCTATCCCATGTTATAGTGTCGTAATTCGGCGAGGGGGCGCTCAGTATATTACTTAATAATAATAGAAAACTGACCGCTTTTATGTCGAGTAGAAACATATATTAGCAAATTTCGACCTTCGCCTCCTGCCAAAAAACGGAGTGTCAAAGGGACGGCTTTTCCCTTGACACCGCTATTATTTTAACTATCTTCACTCCTCGGCAATGTTTATTATTATAAAAAAGCGATTATTAGAATTGTAACAAAGCCTGAATATATGATGAAAGGGAATTTACATATTTTCTTTGTTCTTGAGAATTTGCAGCAAACATATTAAACACTATTTGTTTATTTTTATATTGTTTATTTACAAGAATAATTTTATATTTATTTTTATATTTATCGATCTAAGTATGTTTATATCTATCTATCCCAGTCTGACCATATCTATCTCTGTATCGATCTCAATCTGTTCATATCTATCTATCTATATATACATATGTATATATGTGTGTGTATTTATATCTATCTCAGTCAATACATATCTACCTCAATCTATTCATCTCTCTCTCTCTGTCTCTCTCTCTCTCTCTCTCTCTCTCAATATATATATATATATATATATATATATATATATATATATAAGACAGAATATGGTTTTAAGGTTTGCTATATTTATGGGTCAAAGTTTTCGATATCAAGGATAGAGCGTATGCCAATATAACAGTGAAAGTTGAGGTCAACGCCCAGCAGCGACAGTCTGTTTCATGCTTAGAAGCAATCATCAGGACATGTGAGTTGTGTTAGGCGCCACTATTTATATATGCTAGTCATTGGTTCATTATGGGTAGGTCTATTGTACTAATCTAACGGTTATTGGGTGGGTGGTAACATATATGTTTCAACTTATTCTATTTGCTATTATTGATTATGAATAATTGTGGATCCGAATGCTGTTTTTTGGCTATATTATAGTACCGTTTGTTATTTTTTACTCATTATTTCTGATTGATTATTTCTTATTGATATTTTAATATCTGTTGTTCATTATTATTACGTTTATGTGTACGTTCGTAGTTTGTTAATTTGTTTATTATTTACTTATATATTGATTTAAATTTATTTTGATTGTTTATGTATTTTTACTTATTTTCTTATTTTTATTTATTTTTTATTTTGTTCTTTTTTAGTTTTCGATTTTTAAGTAACGTAGTACGAATTTGTTTTCGTGTCTGCATTTTAAGATGAGTTCTGATCGTTAATTTTGTAATTTGTGTTGGTCTGGAAAGGTTATTATAGATATTTTCTCCTCCACACTTAGAATTTATTGTTGTACGCTGGATGTATTGTTATAGACTGATGCTGTTTTCGTATTTTCCATGATATTTTTGGTGTGATTTCGTTTGTGTTTTTAATTTCCCATATATGTTTAGAAAGCATTGCGCTGTCCCCATATTTACTAATTGTAAAGGATGTTTGGTGTGCGTAGTTTCTGTCTCAAGGACCCTTCAGTTAATCCTATGTATATTTTTCTTCGTTATCTGCTGATTTTACAGTGGCTTGATATATTACATTGTTCTGTGAGCATTTGTCATCTAAGGGACATTCGATCTTTGCTCTGCAGTTACACGTGGCTTTGATATGTAGCTATGTCAGTCTGTTTATATTTAATTATTAATCTATCCATCTCAGTCTATGTCTATCTATCCTTATTGTTCTCTTTATGTATCTATCCTATCAGTATATATATATATATATATATATATATATATATATATATATATATATATATATATATATATATGAGGTGTGTCTGAAAATGGACGGGACTGCACAGACAATTTATTTCAATTACAAACAGCAAACTACATGCTTTCCTATTCAAGGAACCACCCTCGTCTCTAATGCATTTTCCGTCCGTCTCTGCCATGCTTCTCTGCAATTCTGGAAGAATTCTTTTTGGATGCGCGCCAGCTCCGTCGTTACGGCCTTCTTGATGGCCTCCTCGACTTCAAAAATGATCCCTTTGAGCTTGAAGAAAAGAAAAAAGTCACACGGATCAAGATCAGGTGAAAAGAGGTGTTGGTCCAATACAGCGAGGTTTCTCTTGGCCAGAAACTGCCAGAGGCTTACGGCGTCATAAGCAGGTCCATAGTCGTGGTGAAGCAGCCACGATTTGTCCTGCCACATCTCTTGTCTCTTCTCGCGCACTGAGCGAAGTAAACGCCACAGGATCTCTGTAGACTTTCTGATTGATCATCTGGCTCTATGGCAAGAAATCACTATGGTCTATGCCTCTCACCACGAAGAATATCACGTTCTTCGATGTGAGAGTCACGTTACTTTTCAGGCATACCCCGTATATCTCAGTCTATTCATATCTATCTCAATCTGTTATCTATTCATATTCTTATCTCTCTCTCTCTCTCTCTCTCTATATATATATATATATATATATATATATATGTATATATATCAGTCTGTTCATATTTATCTATCCAAGTTTGTCCATCTCACTCTCTCACTCTCACTCTCTCTCTCTCTCTCTCACTCCCTCTCTGTTTATCTTATTCTGTTCATATCTATTTATCTACATTGTCCTTTCGCTAGAGTTGTACACTATACACAACGACAAAGAAAATCTTTTTCTTTTCAAAACCTTTCTAAATATCACTATAGATTAATCACTCCAAATCAAGAATATAATAATTTTCATTAAATTTTAGAAACTTTAATAGGGGGTCCAGTTTGCCATGTAAATTCTTTGTAAATCGATCCCACTACAAATATCCTCATATCACGTGATTTCTTAAAATGAAAGATATTCTAATTTAAAATCCGTAATCAGGATTTCTTTTTACATATATTACTAGCGATCAAGCACTTTAAATTATGAATTTCGAATGATTTTTTTTTACATTTTAAGAAATTATACGATATATTCGTATTTGTTTTGGCTACCGTAAGGGGCATCAATTTAGAGTGAATTTACTTAGCAAACTGCACCCCCCCGCACACATATTGTCTTAGGGAATGTTCCTCTATGCTATATCGACTTTATGCATTTTAAGCGCTGAACGAGATTCGCGTTGTTTTCGTTGTTTATCGCTTCTCTTCAAAGCATTTATTCCGTTTCTTTCTCCCATTCTCTTGTTATTTACTTTTTTCTCTTTCCTTTCTCTCTATCTCGCTCCCTTTCTCCTTTCTCTCTCTAGAATCATGGACTCTCTCTCTCTCTCTCCTCACTCTCTCTCCTCACTCTCTCTCTCTCCTCACTCTCTCTCCTCACTCTCTCTCTCCTCACTCTCTCTCTCTCTTCCACTCCCTCTCTGTCTCTCTCTTTCTTTGAGTCATTCTCTTATTTTGTCCTCTTCACAAGAGTTTCTTTTCCGATATGAATTGCTATACTTCCCAAAGAAACTCCCTTTTCTCCTGTCCTTTACTCTTTCTCTTTCCTTTCTCTCCATATCTCTCCCTTAAACCTTTTCTCTCTTAGTCTCAGTCTCTCTCCCTCTCCCCCTCCCCCCTCTCCCTCTCCCCCTCCCCCTCTCTCTCCCTCCTCTGTCTCCCCTTCCTCCCTCTCTCTCTCTCTCAATCATTCTCTTATTTTGTCCTCTTCATAAGAGTTTCTTTTCCATAAGAATTGCTCTGCTTCCCAAAGAAACTCTCTTTTCTCCTGTCCTTCACCTCTTTCTTTTTCCTTTCTCTCCATCTCTCATCCTTACTCTTTTCTCTCTCTTAGTCTCTGTCTCTCTCCCTCTCCCCCTCTCTCTCCCTCCCCATCTCCCCCTCCCTCTCTCTCTCTCTCTCTCTCTCTCTCTCTCTCTCAGTCGTTCTTTTATTTTCTCCCTTTCGCAACATTATCTTTTCCATATGAATTGCTCTGCTTCCCAAAGAAACTTCGTTTTCTCCTGTCCTTTACCTCTTTCTCTTTCCTTTCTCTCCATCTCTCATCCTTACTCTTTTCTCTCTCTCTCTCTCTAAAATCATGGCCTCTCTCTCCCACTCTCTGTCTCTCACCCTCTCCCTCTCTCTCTCTCTCTCTCTCTCTCTCTCTCTCTGAGTCGTTCTCTTATTTTCTCCCCTTCACAACATTTTCTTTTCCCATTTGTATTGCTCAACCCTCCAAAGAAACCTTTATCGATTTTTCCTTCTCTTTCTTTTTATAATCACTCCTTTCATTAGTTCGCTCTCTCTTCTTGTCTTTCATTTTCTATTCACACAGACACACACACAGACACAGACACACACAGACACACACAAATAACAAATGCCTCAGACAAGACTAACCGGAGTTTGATTTCATGAAAAGGCGTGCCTTTGAATACTAAATATGATAGAAACTACGTTTCTCTTTGAGACATTGGCGCAATATAATCACCAGAAAAGATATGGCCGTGTCTTAAACTTAACTAAGCCGAGTGAATGCCAACATCGATCTTTCACACTAACTTATTTGGCACATATTTACTTGTTAGAGTGGATGCCCGGTGGTGTAATGGATAGCTGCTCGAAGTGAGAAATCGGGGAGCCGAGTTCAAATTCCATTCGAGTTCGTCACATTCACTTACATCCAAATAACCTAGAGGCATGAACCCATATTTTCACCCTCCATCTATGGGTATATAGATGGGTAGACTTGGATCTATAACCTTAGTTGGCAACCAATCTAGGAGAAGGAAAACTCTGAATGGTTATAAAAGTGAGACATGATTTTTTTATTAGAAATTTTATTATGACAAAAAGAAAAAAGGATTTTATGATTAAATTTTACTCTTCTTAAAATATCCTCGTTTAGCTTTAATTACAGCAGCACAAATTTTTGGCATTTGTTGCAAAAGTTTCTCAAAGTATAAGTTGACTTCATTCATTTTGTTTTAGATGATTCTAAGAACTCTTTTTCATTTTTTTTTTTTTTACTCTTCTGACACAAATTCAAACTTTTGAACTTGTTGGCAACCAGTCTAGGAGAAGGAAAACTCTGAATTCAAACCAGCCTGGAGAAGGTTGGGCTCCGTCAGGTTATCTTGCCCAAAACACACTACTTTTGCTTTGGCGGCATTATGGGTGGTGCCCCTACGACACTCAGGGCTTACGGGACTCGTTATCATGACTTGTTAGGATAATTACCCTCCCCTCTCTCTCTCTCTCCTCTCTCTCTCTCTCTCTCTATATATATATATATATATATATATATATATATATATATATATATGTATATATATATACCGTGTTAGGGATTCACTGTCGAAATTATACGTATATTTGTGTGACGGGGGGGGCGGTAGATCAGTATATCTGTAATTGAATGTTTCTTAAAATCACACTTCCTAGAAAAGTTACTTAGACTTAAAAAAGATGATATACTAGAAATTGGTAATATGTTGGAATTAGATGTAATGAAGTTTATGCGCAAATCACAACTGAAATCAATTTGAAATTAAGAAACTAAACATTGAAGCTGAAAGGGAAAACGTGAGAAGTGAAGCTGAAATAGAAAGAACTAGAATTAAGCAGGAGACACGGTTCTGCGAAATAGAAGCAAACCAATTAAATAGTGAAGCCAGACGGAGCAAATTTGACTTATCAAAGCAGGTGTTGCATAACCCCTTGGTGAGGCTGGTCCCACCTTGTCCTCTCTCGACCGGCGATCGCTTGTTGTTTTGGGTCCAGAGATAAAAGTCATCAACAAAGATCCAGTAGCGGGGGCCACCCTTCTCACTGGGGAGTCGTTTCAGACACAAAAGTGAACACGCTTGAAGGTCAAGAAACAACTCTCTGAAACCTTTCTCCTACCTCTTTTCCCACGCTGGCTCAGCCAATCAAAATTGACTTCCTATATTATGGCTTGTATCTGACCCCAAAGGTCAACCTCAGGCAGACGATGCTGAGATACAATTTCCCTAAAATAATAGTCTACTAAACTGTTATTTAACACAGTTTGGGCTTGTACCGAATTTTAATGAAGCGGCAGTAGATGGATATTTGTCGCATTTCGAAAAAGTTGTGCTAAAAGGTAAAGCTCTAAAAGGTAAAGCTAAACAATCCCTTATATTGAAGTGTTCTCTACCGCGTGGGTCGAATTCGGCCACGGGCGAATTTGTTGTTATACAGGGTGTCAGTAGTGATTTTGTTAGTGTTCCTCTACATCTAATTCATTTGAGGTCAGACTTAGTATCTGGGTCTATTGTTGTTGGTGTCATTCCTAGTCTGCATATGAAAGGCGTATCTATGTTGCTAGGGAATAAGCTCAATGGCAGGAAGGTAACTATCCACCGCAAATAGTACCGTCACTTCGATAGAAACAGAGAAAACGGATGAAGAATACCCTGGGATATTTCCTTCATGTGCCATGACTCGGAAGAGTTATAGTATATGTATAAAAATAAAAGATAGATAGATAGATAGATAGATAGATAGATAGATAGATTCAGCCGACAAGGTCTGTCTTTTTAATTTGTTATAAATTTTCCAACTGTTCATTCAGTGTTTATACATCAGAATCAAAATTCTGGGTACACTGTGATGTTGCATTCAGTTTCTGATCAGCTAATTTTAACAGTCTCAATTATTATCAAGAATTTGGTGTTTACAATTTGGTAGACAAGATTGTGTTGGTCACAATTTGGAATTTTGGAGGAGCACTTATATTCGAATTATTCCATGTGTAATGGTCACATGGAGCTATATCGCACCGGAAAAGAATATATCAAATGTTTTATCATTATTATTTGTTATTATTATTATTATTATTACAACACTTACAGAAGAGCGCGATTTAAGAAAAGAAAAGACACAGTGTTTAACAATATTTCGAGAGTATGTCATGTTTAAAAATTTTATACATATTGTTAAACACTATCTTTTCTTTTCTAAAATTGCAATTTTCTCTAAGTGTTATAATAATAATAATAATACTGAGAGAAGATCATCATTTAAGAAAAGAAAAGAAAAAAGAAAAGACAGCGTTTAACAATATTTCGAGAGTCTGTCCGTCTTCTTCAAGTTATGGGTAAAAATTGCATGCAAGTATAAAAATATAAGTCTTTATACAAACTTTGATTGTCTTGAGAAAAACGGATGTACTGGTAATCAACGCGATAAAGCGAATTAAACGCAGCTAGCATAAATGGTATGCAACTGAAACATGAGTAAAATGATGGGTATCATGCCCGTCATTAAATTTTCAGTTAGTTTATTAGTTATTAAGAGCAATTAATTAAATAGTTTAGTATAAATCTTATAGAACTCTCCTATCATTTCGTTCATTCCACAGGGGTGGGATATTACTAATTTGCATATAGAATTATAAATATATATAAATATAGAATTATCTTCATGCATTTTTATTATTATTATTATTATTATTATTATTAATCCCAGTATATGATGTTGGTTGCTGATGATTTCTTCTTTTCACGGAATAATGGCCTCCAATACAGTTGGAAATATTCTCAGTGTTACGAACAGACGGGCTTTTTGCAATGGCTCTGTTTCCAAATCCTAATCCAATATCTGCAAGGGTTTTTACATGTATTTTTGTACAACATCCCGATGCTCCACTGATCACTTGTACTGCAATTACTTTCATTATTAGTCCTTCGCAAACTTTCCGAATTTCATATTTTAAATCCTTGTAGCTGTAGATTTACTTTTCTCTGTGTTCAATTCTCATATAAAATAGACAGGAGCTTTCTATCAGTTAGCATTTTTTCTGTATGTCCAGCAGGTTTAAGTCTCATTTATTATACTGTAATGTTGTCACTGACAGTACCAGAATGTTTTTATTTTCCAGAGATGAAATTTAACTAATATTGTGACTTTATCACATCGTATCTACATCCTTGTGTAAATTAATTGAAGCAAAACGAATAATTATTATACGTTATTATTTACATTTTTCTTATTTCTTCAATAAAACATGACCCAGTGCACGTGTTAGTACTTCGTATGTCCATTTCACGAAGTCATTCCTTGCAGATTGACCACAGATTCTCGATTGGATTTAAATCAGATTTTCAGAGCCAGTCTCTAGTACTATATGCTCACTGGTAAGGCTTGCCATTGTGTTTGTGCAGTGTTACAATTTCCGTACGCTTCCTTGGAGCAACGTCCATCGCAGACAGTGGCCGTAGGACAACTAATCGACAGTCGAGACAGTAGTGTCTGGGCGTGATGAAAATCTGATGCAATCATGGATGACGCAATATTTTTCAAGGCCAAACAAATTTCATCATACTCCGAGAATAGATATATAGTACTGCACACCACTGCAAATGACCTAATCTGAGGAAAAAATAGAAATAGATTAAAACCTGTCACACCAGTGGGTCTAAATCTGACAGTATCATGAAAGAAAGGAAACTAAAGCGGTTGTTTCAATTAAGGGTGGATGTGTCTCACTTTTACTGATTCCCTTTTCCCTTGTTTACCTAGAACCAGAGATAATTTTAAAGAAACGTTTAAAGTAGGATTTTTTTTTTCATTTAAAAGAACACTAATTATGAACAATTACAAACGAACTCTCCTTCCTATTTTGACAATAAATGCTGAACAATTTGCAGATGAAGAAGAGACATGAGGCGATAGATTTTTTTTCTACAGAAGGATGTCAAAATTACTGAGAACTAAGCATGTGTGCAACGAGTAAATTTGAAGGAAAGTGGAAACAAAAAGGACACTTCTACTTAGAATCAGAAAGAGACAGTTGAAATATCTTGGACACATAATGAGGAAAGAAGGTTTGTAGAATTTGATACGCACGAGACATATCAAAGGCAATAAGAACAGAGAGAAAATGACGTAACGAACTTGCGAAAATGTATGGCAGTACAGGGATCCAAAGTGTGGTGAGGAGACAAAAATTGCTTAAAGCTATAAAGGATAGGAAGTTGTGGAGAGCCATGTTTCTTCAAGGGACACGGAACATAAAAGAAGAAGAATGTGATAAGTTTCATATTGTATTCTCCATATTTTAATTCAGAATTTCTTCTTCGCCTAGACTAGTTGTACTAACAAGGATAGAGAGCCCAGACTGCCCTACTATTTTTCTGTAGCTGGGGGAGAAGATTTGGATTCATGCATTTCGCTAGGGTATTAGTTCGAAGTGAAACCCTCACCCTTGACCGGAATATGAGCACGGACTTTTTGGTTCCATTTTCCGCACCAAAAACCTTTGCGCCATCTGCCTAGCCGTTTAACGATTTCAGCCATCAGTGGGGATTATATCGGTTACCAGAAAAATAAGCTGGGTATCATATTTTCTGAATGCGTTTTGGTTTAGACAATTACGTGATTTTGATTAGTTAAACATTGGTGGCGAGGGAAGTCCTTATCAATCCGGCAATGAAGAAGACACGTTTCCCAGAAATACTAGAAGCGTCTTGGTGGTTCTTTATCGAAGTTAAGCACTTGTTCAGCGTTTCTCGATTCACCTTGGAGAAATTTGCGTCGCAACAACTTGTGGCAGTTTTTAGTTCGTTTAATGGTTGTTAAAACCAAATATGGTGGCACGTTGCAATCATTCATATCTGTAATATAAATAGCTAGATTTTATAGAAAGAAAACAAGAAAGAAATAATTATATAAACCGAGAATGAAAGAATGACCTCAAGAAAGAAAGAAATGCTTCGATATACAAATAAAGAAACAAACAAACGAACGAACAAAAAGAAAGAAATGCTTAGATAAGAAGAAAGAAAGAAAGAAGGAAAGAAAGAAATGACCACAGAAAGAAACAAATAAATTTTCATATAAAAAGAAAGAAAGAAAGAAAATAGAATGCGCGAAAGAAAGAAGGAAATTTTCATATAGAAAGAAATAAACAAAGAAAATAGAATGCGCGAAAGAAAGAAAGAAATTTTCATATAGAAATAAACAAAGAAAATAGAATGCGCGAAAGAAAGAAAGAAATTTTCATATAGAAATAAACAAAGAAAATAGAATGCGCGAAAGAAAGAAATTTTCATATAGAAATAAACAAAGAAAATAGAATGCGCGAAAGAAAGAAAGAAATTTTCATATAGAAAGAAATAAACAAAGAAACAAATAGAATGCGTGAAAGAAAGAAAGAAGGAAAGAAAGAAAGAAAGAAAGAAATGATCAAAGAAAGAAACAAATAAATTTTCATATAGAAAGAAAGAAAGAAAATAGAATGCGCGAAAGAAAGAAAGAAAGAAAGAAAGAAAGAAAGAAAGAAAGAAATTTTCATATAGAAAGAAAGAAACAAAGAAACAAAGAAAATAGAATGCGCGAAAGAAAGAAAGAGAGAAAGAAAGAAAGAAAATTTTTATAGAAAGAAAGAAAGAAAGAAAGAAAGAAAGAAAGAAAGAAAGAAAGAAAGAAAGAAAGAGTGGGCTAAATAGAAAGAAAGAAAGAAAGAAAGAAAGAAAGAAAGAAAGAAAGAAAGAGGGGTTCTGGAAAGATGTTGGGTATAAAGAACGATGGAAAATGAAATAAAACTAGTGTAAAAAAAGGAAAGTTTTAATTTATGTGAACTGAAATATTTCTGTACTTTTATACTTGTGCATCGAATGTATATTCGTTTGTCTGTGTGTCGTGAATGTTGTCAGGATGCAGCCCGCATCAATTCAATTGCTGTCATTCATTTAATTTTTCACCAAATTTTAATTTAACTCTTTGTTGGGCGGTTGTTGTTTATTGAAGATTTTTCGTTGAAAAACGAAGAGAAATGCACTTAGAAATAAGGAACGAAGCAAGTGACAATTTAATGCTGAACTGTCGTGAAAAAAGATTTACAAGCAATGGCGGCGAAAGATGAAAGGAAGAGAAAAGAAAAAATAGAAAAGAAAGGATTGTGTTAAAAGTGCGGGTTGAGAAAGGAGGAAAATAAGTTTGGGTTAATAATGAAAAAGGAAGTGAAAGAGGAGAGGCTGGAAAAGCAGAAGAAAATAGATTGGAATGAAAAAAATTAAATTCAGATCGAAAATGAAAGAAAAGGTGTGTAGAAAAAAGAAAGAAAGACCTAGATAAAGAAAAAGAAAAAAAAACCTAAATGAAAGAAGAAAAAGAAAAACCTAAAGATAAAGAAAAAGAAAGAAAAACCTAAATGAATGGAGAAAGAAAGAAAGAAAAACCTAAATGAATGAAGAAAGAAAGAAAGAAAGAAAGAAAGAAAGAAAGAAAGAAAGAAAGAAAGAAAGAAAGAAAGAAAACCCTAGATGATTACAAGAAAGAAAGAAAAGAAATATCTAACGAAATAAAAGAAAAAGCAGGAGAAAAGAAAAAAAGAAAGATCTTTAAAAAAAAAAGAAGGAATAGAACAAAGAAAGAAAGAAAGAAAGAAAGAAAGAAAGAAAGAAAGAAAGAAAGAAAACCCTAGATGATTACAAGAAAGAAAGAAAAGAAATATCTAACGAAATAAAAGAAAAAGCAGGAGAAAAGAAAAAAGAAAAAAAAAAAAAGGATCTAGAACAAAAAAAAAAAGAAGGAATAGAACAAAGAAAGAAAGAAAGAAAGAAAGAAAGAAAGAAAGAAAGAAAAGAAAACCCTTAAAAAAAAAAGATGAATAGAACAAGAAAGAAAGAAAGAAAGAAAAAAGAAAATATCTAACGAAAAAAAAGAAAAAAAGAAATATCTAAGGAGAAAAAGAAAAAAGAAAAGAAAAAAAAAAAAAAAAGAAGGAATAGAACAAAGAAAGAAAGAAAGAAAGAAAGCAAATATGAGGCAGGAAATAAAAAACAATAAAGAAAAAGAGAAACATAATTACATTTATAGAAAAAAAGAATGAAAGAAAAACCTAGATGATGCGGCAACTTACAAAGAAAGAGTAAAAGAAAGAGAATGAAAGAAAGAAAGTACGAAAGAAAGAACATATGAATGAAAAAGAGGTCAAAAACTTGGAACAGCGATCAATATAGATCACGCTTTCTTTCCGCTCTTTCTCTTCTTTATTAATTTCTCTCCTTCTCTCTTCCTCTGTCTTTTCAAGAAGAAATAACGTTGCAATTAAATTCTAAATAATTTCAAAGAAATACGTTCGGAGACACAAAAACCATGCAAAGAAAGTAATGAAAGATATCATTGATTAGTCGCCGTGTCCTTGTGCGAATTTTCAAAACATGCAAATGGAATTTTGAAGAAAAGAATGGCGAATGAAATGGAGAAGAAAAAGAAGCGAGAATGTTTTTCATTGAAAATGAAATCAGTTGGCGAGTGAGATGACAGTCGGTGGCAAGCATTGTCAATGTGCATGTCATATTTATTAAGGCAAAATTCATGAGAATGATCAACTCCCAACGGAGATACGCCGAGGACATTAATGAGATTTCCCATTTAACGTTCGGCTTTCTCCCGTTCTTGC